GCAGCTTGATGTACTGGATTGTCGTTGGAGGAAGTGAGTGAGCCATTTCAGCGATGCTATTCTATCAGTTGACACCAATCTTGATTGTTTCCCCCCAATGTTACATTTACTCCAAGTGAATGAGTATTTATTGGTTTGTCGTGGAGAAATATTGCAACAATGCTAATTGTTCAATCGCAGAATTAAAGTTTATGCCATTGATCAAGTGTCAGTGCGATCCTCTTGCTGTGGAACTCGATGGCATCTCAAGATACCCACACTTTCAGATTACCCATTGACATTCCAGCTCCTGTCACTGCTGCTAACTTTGCGGTTCGAGTTGATGTCAATGAAATCGCCTACTTGCATTGTGATTGGGAGCGTGATGCTGTTTTTCATCAGTTCAACCTTAATGAGCTACTGGTGCGTTCTATCAGAATTCATTATCTTTATGGCTATTAATTAATTGGATCAGCTTTCTGATACTCAAACGGATGGTGAGGCAGCAGAGCACTGATGAGCATTTAAACTCGCGCTGAAATGTTTTCGTGCACTCGGTACCTTCGCAATGTGTTTCGTATTCATATATCAGTTTGTGGTTTCAATACCTACTCAGAAAAAATTTGCAGTTGCAACGACAAGACATTCCCTTAGCAACGATTGAAGAAGAAACCGAGGATGAGGACGATTTGTCACCCGTTACACCGTGCAGTAATCCAGAATTTCTGTCACTTTCATCGGCCGAAGTAACTCCAATGAATCCTTGCATTTTTCGCTTTTATCGGAATCGTAAATGTGGCTTTTACATTTTAAATTCCTCAAAATGAAGCACTGATAAGCGATCTGAATCCTTTCGTGTAACCAAAAACTGATGCCTTTCGTTAAATAGCGAAAATGATACTGTTTTATTGCATTGATTGTACTGCTTTCAATTTGAGCAAGAAATGTTCTCAGTTTTTTTCATCTGCACAAGAATAAACCATATATATTGTGTACTCAGATAATTTGCCCGATTTGTATGGACACATACGATGATCCTCGAACGCTTTCTTGTGGTCATTCAATATGCAATAATTGCGTTGAGCACATGAAGGCTACAGGTTGGGTATTTCAGTTTGAAATGAGCATCTTTCTGTATGATTCTTGGTGCTTCAACATATTAGGATATCACATGAGAACGGAATATTGTATTGTTTGACCTCATTTCAGCTAAAAATAACACAATTCGATGTTTCGCGTGCCGTAAAGCAACAACCATACCAGCAGCGGGTTTGCCCGTTAATTTCGGTTTGAAAGGTCAGTTCTTCATTCGAACACTATTAAATTGTTCCATTTTAGTAGAATGCAGTAGGCGTTCAGTGTATGTACTGTGTTGACAGGAAACGTTTACACTCACCAAATTTGCATCCATAGTCATCAGTTTATCGAAGAAATCTNTTGTCGAGAGAGTAGGTCGTGAAAGAATGAACGTTTCAATTGAGAACGTGTTTCAGATGCTATCGAAACATTGGAGAAAGCTCGACAATTGAGTCTTTCGAATCTGAGATGCGGCAGATGTCGAACACAGTGTGATGAATGCGACATGTGGATTTGTCTGAAGTGTTGTCAGGAACGAGCTGTTCTCGTAAGTGCATCCTTTTCGCTTGGCTTTCCTTAACCATTCACAATCAAAAAATTAGCAGTACCTAATCGCATGATTTCATCCATGACAGGGCGCATTCATCAGAACGAATAAATCATCCGAAAATTGGAATGAGGCATGCTTCTCGGAATATTTCTTTGCTTAGAAAATTTGTTATAGCAAATAGTATTCACCCGAATTTATCAAACCATGATGAAAATTCAGGAAACATCATTTCCAACGAAAACTGAGGAGCTTCCCGATGGTGCGGATGAGAAAGATGATGCAGCAACTGCACTGACGAAGAGATATTCATTTTGTGCATCGTGCATTCTGAAGCATCATTCTAACCACAGAGTGGATGAATTGAGCACATTCAGGTTACATTCTTTTGTTGAACGTGATGTGATGCTTGAAAGTATAACACTTCAATGCTCAGATTGTGATAAATCAACGTGAAAATTAAATTAACTATCACATCGCGTTGTACATCGCACGTTTGTAAATCC